ACGGTAAGCGGCGAGGAGCGTCAGCGCTCGGGCGCGGCCTTGGCTTCCGAAGGCAGCTCGCGTGGCCGGCGCTAACGCTCCGCATCCCTTCCTTCCTTTTTTTCTTCCTAGTCTCCAGGCTGACTTCYCTTGGCCAGCTGGAAATGACCTGGAGAAGCAGAGTTCACTTCCAGCCGCTGCTCGTGAGGGTCCTGCACAAATCTCGGCTCAGGTACTACGGGAAACCGGACAAAAGGCTGGATATGCCCTATCAGGTAAAGAGGGGTAAAGACACGGCTCGGCACTCCTGAACTGYCGTTGTAGGATGTTGGGAGCTCTAGTCCCGTGGAGCACATGCTGTYAGGAATTACSCTCTASCGAGGTGTGATGGCCTTAGTGGTCGTATGTGTAAAGTTTGGGTCGTGTTAGTTCTTCGTTTAAAGTTACTGACAGTTTTTAATAGCTTAATAGGTTGAACTTTTTTGCCCTCTGGCCTTGGAAGCAGGAGTTAATCTGCCTTTTATGAAAACCATTAGCAAGCAAAACCTAACAATCTGTTTCCCCTGATTCATTYGTCTCATGACTTCCGGATGGTTAAGTGAGGTTGCTGTCAGATCCTTAGAGCTTTTCATGGTGATTGTTTCTGTGTACTGYCCCTTAGAAGGGGACAAGAGAGGGCAGCATTTTACAAAGAAGTCTGGTAGCCCATGTCAGTTCTTTCATGGGGAGAGAGGTACATGAGACTTCTTTAGGACAGGCTGAGTGTAGCTATCTTGTTCCAAGTTCCTGTTCCCTTTCTGMAAGAAGCTGAGTCTTTGTATCAGGTTGTAAATGGTTCTCAGCAAACAGTCTTGATGGTGCTCCAAACTTCCTAACTGATGGGAGCTCATCAGCCAAATTTCTTGGTATTAATTGCAGAATCAATACTTGGATCGGATTTACCTGGAGAGAATAGAAGAGAGATTTTGCATGATTTCTCTATGCACTTTTTTATTTTTTTAATAAAAGTACTGTGTGTTGCGTTATTTTTACTAGCTAGAGACAAATGGAGTAACAAAAGGTGTTACGATACAGTAATTTAATTTCAAATATGCATGATTTGTGATTAAATTGTACTATGAAGAYGAATAAATAAGAATTAATTTGTATAATATCTGTATATTATTTGGAATTAGGAAAAGACAGCAAGGGAGTAAAAGACATGGGCAGTGGATATGCCCAGGAATTATGATATTCAAGAGTAAGTGGTAGTGTGGACAAAGGCAGATGATGCTTGAGGCTGACAGGTGAGCGGATAAAATGAGGCATTTTGGAAGAGCTCTGTTTTGCAGTGGATTGCTGCCTTATAAGACCATTATAAGTTTAAAAAGCTTTACCTCTTCCAGTGCTCCAAGATGTGCTCAGTTAATGATTCAAAGTTTYACAGGTGTGGGGTTTTGTTTTGTTGTATTTTTGGTATTAAACCAAAACACACCAATAGCTAACCAGTAGTTAAACCCTCATAGTATACTTTTTCTTCATGGACCTTTTGAAGTGTTACTCTAACAAGGGAAACTTTTTTTTCCAACTCCAGTTTTGAGTGCACCTTTTGGGATATATTCTGCATCTGTTTGTAATAATCAAAGAAACTGTCCATGATACTGACTTAATAGCTAATGCATTATCCAAAACAAACCTTGGTGAATAATTATAATTAAATATATTTTGTGCCTTTTTCTTTTAGGCATACTTTGAAGTTGCTGATGGTTCAGGCATGATGTCAATGGTCTTGTGGAATTCATTATGTCCTGAATGGTATAACAGCATGAAGGTTGGCACGGTGCTACTTCTTGAGCAGTATGCTATCAAAACCAGTTATCCATTTAAAACACAACCAACCCCAGGGGATTCACAGATGAAGAGATTCGCTACAATTGGTTAAGTATTGCAGAAATGTTTTGATTTAATGAGATATAGCTGTAAAAATGAGATACTCTTTCAGCTGAAAGCGACAATAGTGCCAGTCAAGTTAGGTGGCCTTCTGACCACCAAAGTGGTATTTTTCTGGTTTGTTTTTCAAAGCAGATAAAACATAGGTGCCTTTTTGAAAAGGATGTTGATGGGATTCTGCAAGCATGGGTTATGATSTGATGAGCGTGGACCTGACAGGCACGTTTTGGGCATATTTTGTGCCCAACCTTTCGTCATACCTGACTGATTCCCCTTTGGTAACGGACCATCTATTCCCAATTTTAAGAAGGAACTTGTCTCCTCTGTTTCTGTGACCAAGGGCTCCATCTTCGGCACTGTTTCTCAGTGTGTGAGAAATTTCTTAATATTCAGGAGATTTGAAGACTGAAACTCTCCTGGAAAATTTATGAACCAATCAACTGGGTGATGTTTGCAGAACAGAATAGAAGAGAGAGTTTATGTGTGTGTCCTTACAGAAAGCATTATCCACCTACTCAAATACCAAGGTTTCTTCTCTCTTGTTGCACTAGGCAAATGAGACTTTCCTTGGTATCKTAATGCCTCACTTCACTGTTTCAAGTCCTAGTRATATTGTCTTTTTTTACTTTAATTRTCAATAGATCAAGAACTGCTTAGTATAGTCCATTTGTGGATAACTCATGAGGATTCATTTGTGGAGTTCAAATATTAAATGACCAATACTCTGTTCTTATTTTTCTGACTTAAGGATGAAAAAAATCTCCTATCCATGCTACAAGAATAGGTAAAAGGTAGCTCTTCACAGAAATAAAATGGAAAGAGATCCATTTTAAGAGATTAGCTGATAGAGTGCATACCCTTAAATAGCGTCTGACAGTTTCCTTAGCATTCAGGTGGTTTTAGATATTTGATTCACACATAGAAGGCTTTTTGCCGAAATGAGTTAAAACCTTAATTAAAAAAAGATGAAAAATATGACTCCTGCTTTCAAGTATTGGSGTTGTAAGCACAGATTTCTGGTGTTGTGTTTTAATCTAATTCTACTTCCTGATTAATAATACAGCTATGATTGATGCACAATTCATACCTTCATTCAYACTGAGTCTCATTATTCCACTATCCAATGCTTACATTGGGGCTTATCCTATAAACTAAAGTCCATCTGCAAAGCTCCATCAAATAAAAGGTTGTAACAATGACCACTGTCTCTACTGAAACAGCAGCACCATGGGGAGTGCACACATGACGAATATTCTGTGGCAAAAAACAAGTTTCTGCTCTTGGTTAATGTCACAGATTATCAAGAGAGCTGTGCTACAGAAATGCCAGTGTTGCAGTAACAAAAAGAGCCTTTCCACATTACATGATACTAACTTTATCAACCTTGCTTTCTGTGCGTATTTTCCTGAACATGAATTTTCCCTTACATGCTTATACTTGGATAAAATCATGTCCAACAATCAGAAAATTCAAACCCTTTCCATGAAGCAAGCAATTGTGCATGTTCATGAAGTTTGATGCATAGATAATTTATTCATCATGAGAATATCCTAGTGCAGTATATTTTCTGTCCAGTTTATCTGCATTAAAACAGTTCTGCATGTGTGAAGTGTTTGTGATAAATTGGCAGAAAAGAGTTCAGCCAGGAAGGAGAGTTTGGGGGAAAGCGTAAGTTGATGATGAGTGTAAGTCAGCCTCAGAGCAATTTTAATTGACCTAAACCTTTCTGCATAATAAAACGTACTCTTTGGACAAGTATCATTTTTCTCACCCCCCCCCCAATATAGGGCAATATCATTTCAGTTTTTAAAGGGTGCCTACTGCAGTCTCAGAGACTTCTTCAAGTAACTAGTTGAGGCAATAAATTACCCCAAATTGCTTGAGTAAACATTACTTCTTCCATAATTTGCTTCCACTCTGTAACTGTCACATCCCCTTTTGCCAATATTTTCTTACAATCATTTGCCTGTAAGCTGTTTAAAATACATGTGAGGCAAAACGAAATCAGAACTTGTTAGGCTGCAAAGGTTTTGAAAGTACTTTCAGAGTTAAAGGTTCTCTCAAGACCTCTCTTTCTGGCACACTCCTAGATTTTTATGAAGTGAGCTATATGTTGCTTCTGCATTTTGCAACTGTAGTTCTTGGAGGTTGAACAGTTGCCACTGCTACCTTGAATTCTACCAAGAAGCCTCTGAGTGGCGTGTGCATCTCACAGATCACTGAATTGATGTGGTACTGATGAAAACTGTTTTTAATAGACTGGACTGACCTTAGCTTCTGAATCATTCCMGAGCATAGTCCCAACTTGAGTATCTCACATTTACCTACTTTCAAAGTGATGGAACTACTGATGAATGTATTGAGGAACATTTTTTCTTGTTTTTCTCTGAAGTTCTGCCTTCAAACACTGAATACCATCACTCTTGTCTTGAAGATATGTTTGTATGCATCTTGTAGCAGAAGGGTAGAGGCAGAGGGTCTGATGTTAAGTACATCTTCCTGCAGTGTGTGAGGGGCCTGATGTAATTGTAAATAACCCTGTATGTTATTTATACCTCATTTCTGGGTGCATTACTTGAACGATCCCTTATTTAAATCAAATTTTCTTGTCGAAAGTGAATCAGTCTTGAATATCAGCAAGATTTACCTTGTTATGAGAGGTGCGACAGACTATTGCCTTCTACATTTTAGGTGCTGAAACCATTCCTCCTATACTGTTTATCTGGCTGCAGAAGCATCCTCTTTCCACCCTCCCTCCACAAAACTCCACTATGTTATTTAATGTCTAAGTAGTCTGCTTGCTAAATTAATTTTTTAGGAGCTATAGAATAAGTTCATCCTTTTTCTGCATGGCCATAGCATATTTAAATTGTGTTAATAACTAATTGAACATAAATCAGAGATGGAAGTTCTGATCTGTTAGTTGTTCTTCTGTTGTATTTTGGTTTTAAATTGTAGTGACCTTTGAGAATGAAAGTAAAACGTATTTCATTGCTAATTCATGTTCTGTCAGTACCTGTTGTTTGTTGCTGAGATATCTGTCCAGATTGGAATAAATTGGTTCATCTGGAGAACTAGATAGATTAGTATTTCTTAGATCATAACACTGTATTGATGAATACTGTATCTGAATTCCGTACTTTATGCAGATGAAAACTAAAGTTGAAAGACTTGTTTAAGAATTTCATGAGAAGTGGGATAGTTAGAATACTTCACTTAAAAAGATTATTTGCTTTTTGGTTTCTAGTTCAAGTAAAAATATTTTTTTGATTTGTATTCATACYATAAACGTGACTATATTTTTTTTTCTTCATCAGAAATCAGCTTGAATGTTCGAGACCCACCTACTAAAATAAGTATTATTCCAGAGGAGATGGTGAAGCCAGAATGGGGATTACCTGAAGTTAAATATCGGTTTATCACAAGGTAAAATAAAATCTTCTCATTTCTGAAACTGGAACTAAATTGCACAGAACATGAATTGAAAATTTCTTTTGAGAAGCTCCTAAGAAAGTTTAATGAAATTAAAATAAGCTTWTTTGTTCTTTTCTGTTTTTAGGTCAGAACTGGATGCCTTACCAAACAATCATTCCTGTGATGTTATTGGTCTTGTGACATTTGTAGGAAGGGCTGAAAGAGCGAGAAAGAGAGGTTTTTCTATAAATATCACTTTCAAAATTTAGGAAATAATTTTTAACATTTTGAAGAAACTTTTATTTTTTTCTTTGTTTATATAGAGCATGGTGAAGACTTCTGGCTCTATCGCTGGGTTCATGCCATTGATGGGACCTCAGACCAACCCTTCATTCTGGAATTATTTGCGACATCTCAGCCAGATGTGTTTGAGCATATTCACCCAAGTATTTATCTCTTTATAATACTTAATTATTTGCAACATCTTTCCAGTCAATTTCCTCAAATATTTTTTGTCAAATTTCCTCAAATATTTCCTCAAATAATTTTCTAGTCAATTTCCTCAAATAACTTTTTTTTTTTTGACAAAACAGATGTCACCAAACAGCTCACAATATCATGTGAGCTAATCATGGTGAATTTCAAACTAGGGAAACCTTAATTATGGATTTTAAAGCTTCTTTAAATATTTCCTCTTGCCTTCTTCAAGCACTCACCCTTCCATCAATACTGGTTGGTGTCATGTGCTTTTTATATCATATGGTACAGGACCATCTGCACAGCCCCATTAAGGTTATGGGTGCATTCCTTSTGCGTACTCTAGGGAAATGGCAAAAAGTTATATTCCTAAGTTTAACTGGAATATTAACTGAAGAGTGAGTTTATATTCTATTTAGAACTTTTGCAGTGGCACCTCATGGTTTCTTGTGCTTTTTGTGTTTATTGCACTTTTTTCTTTAGGAAACCAACTGTCTAATGTTCATGTGGTAACTATATTTCACTGATACTTGGTGAAGTTGCTYGTGTTTTAGTGCTAGAATATATGTTGAAGTTTCCTTGCTCAACTCTTACAAGTTGAAAATCAATTTGTATCCTCATGTTGTAACTTCTAATGAAGGCTGAATACATGCTGAAGCTTTTGCAGGCTCAAGAAATGAGTTATCTGGGTTTGATCACTTGTAATCCTTGGATATCAGCCTTGAAATGCTGAATAATCAGCCTTGAAATGCTGGAATCAATTAAGTATCAGAGAAATGCTGAAATCAATTACGTATTGGAGAAAACTGAAGTACTTTTTTTCTTTAGTGACATACTTGGTGTGCACACAGATGAGAGTGGTACGGGACATCACGGAGAATCCTTCTAAGGCAATTTACCTTACAACTTCAAATGAAAGTCAAATGTTCATTACAGGTAACTTAAACTAGTTTTAAGTTTATGTATTTATAGTCTTGTTTCTTTGGAAAAGGTAGTTTAGTGATTTCAAGCTAGTTTAGTGATTTCAAGCTCTCTGACTTTAATTGAAACAGAAAAAAAACCCTCTGGTTTTATAAGAAAAAAAGTATTGCATAGCATTAGCTTTCAATAGGTTTCCTTCAGAGTTAACTTTGAACCTGTAATGAAATAATGCTGCAAAAGGGGAGGGGGGCAAGTTGCATTCTGGTGAGGCAATAATGGGTGTATCTGGTGTGTCCTATGAAAAAGTCCACAACTATGCTTAAGTCACATATTTACTARTTCTTTCCAGGCTATTTTAATCATTTGAATGTAACGATGCACATGACCAATTCTTTAAAAGAAAGACAAAATAGCCTGCAGCTTTTCTCAATTGCATACTTCATTATTACAAAAAACATATATATAAATAGGTATAGTTGTGCCAAACTTGTCTTAGTTATTTTTTTCCTGGTATATTTGGAGAGCTCTTAGGTTCTTYCCCAATGTGCTGGGAAGGGATGTGGCGCTGAGCTCCAGTGTAAGCATTTCCCTTTTAGCTGCTCGTTTGGATACGTTCTGCTCCCGCACAGTGCTCTCTGTGGCCTTGTGATACTGTGTGCTAGATACTGCCAGGGAGCAAGTCACAGGCAGGAAGAGGCACATCTGCTTCTGAATCAGGGGAAGGAGCACAGCACAGGATTGCAGGCGAGCAGTRTGCTGGCATGACTGCAAGGATATACAAAATTTGATAGGCGTAGCTTTCCTGTGGTTATCTATCCAACTCATTTCTGTGGTATTCCAAAGAGACCACGCTTCCATGCAGTGTTAGTCAAGGAATTAAGTATATGCACTTCATAAAGCATAAATGAATAGATGTCCTTGCATTCTCTAGTACAATTTTTCTTTATTTTCTATGCACTATTCAGGATAGTTTCAAGGTGGAAACTCATGACAATAACCTGTTTTATTCTTTGATACCTGATCATTTTGTTTTGAAAGGGTGGCACAAGGGTCAGCCATACACCAAGGATACCAAAGTGAAGAACTTCATTCAGTGGATGAAAACACAACATGAAGCTGATCAAATGAAGAAAACTGTCATTGGTGGCTATTACCCTTTTCCACGACCTCCAAATAACTTTCTGAGATATTGTAAAAACAATAAAGGTAAGCTATCAAGTATATTCAAGATTTATAGCCTTTTTCAGTTCAGTTTTATTCCAAGGATGTAAAACTATAATTTATTTTAAAAACAACCCAGTTACTTTTACATATTATACAAGTTTGCATTAATAGCCTGTGGCTTAGTTTGTATTAATATGGCATGCCATTTAAGAAAAAAACTCACAACGAATAATGTGTCATATGCTAACTCCTTATCTTACAGAAAATGTCATGAGTCCGTGAACTGCAGGCAAAATGTAACAACTTGCCCACTTGAAGTTTTAAACTTAAGATTATGCCAAATCAGGATTAAAGACAGTTATGTTGAGCAATATAGTAAAATAAAAATTCCACATGGAATACAAGTAATGATATCTATTTGCTAACACATACTACAACCTGATTGTGGGATTAATAAGTGTGTTCTTTTTTATCTGCTGTGAGCACTAAAAGACTTTAAAATTTCTCAAAAGCTCATTTTTAAGTCATTTTAGTATTTATCTAAAATTTCGTTTTTCTTTTGAGTCTTGTATTCAGACATTCTGATATTCTGTTTGTTTAAAACTCGTTTGTGGGAATTGCTTTTTGCAGTTGAATCGATTCTGAAAGCGATAGGTGAAATGGGGAGTGAGATTGAAGACTTGCACTACAGGGAGCACAAGCGCATTGCCATTCAGGGAATAATTAGTGCCATAAGATACATCAGCTGTAGTAGTGTGGCTGAAGATGCCTCAGGAGAGGAACCTGCTCAGGTACTGTGCTTGAAAATCAGTCCCGTGGTACTCAGGCAACTGTGAACATAATGAGACCGAGAACTTTGCCTTTGATTTCAGCACCGTGTTATATTGCTTCTTGATTAACTGRTTTGCCATTTTGAGAGCAAAAGTTTTGATGTAGTTTAAAATGATTCAGTGCTTTTCTTGAGAGTATTCTGGCAGTCCTTCATGAAAGTATGTAAATGTTTAGAAGTTATTGACTGATCACATAACGTAGCATAGGAGGTGGAAGAGCTGACTGTTTCAGTGCACTTGCTGTCACTTTAGACAGAGTATAACCTAGTCCTTGTCTCTAGTGACTTTCAGAAGATGGGATGATTAACTTGGTTAGCTTTAGAAGTTATTTGAAAAAAACAAACTTTAAGGTTTTTGAGTTGGAAGCAACAGTTTAAGGTGTTTTCTAACTGTTAAATAATTACTTGTGGTTGCAGAAAGATACTTCTCAGTCTCTTGAAAGTTCCACTACATCAAAAGAAGATAGTGCTCACAAGGAAAGAAACAGAAACCTTAAAAATAAAGAAGTCAAGTCTCCTCTTGGTGGACACTGCTCTCCTGGGGAGCAACATCAGCGTCAAGCTTTCCTCACAAGAAGGAGGACAATCAAGAGAAAGATAACACGCAGTTTTCGTACAGATACCGAACAGTAAGCTGTTTTTGTAAAGTGTAACTTGAAAAGCAACCACTTTCGCAATGGGTACAAATAGCAGTGGATCCTCTGAAGAGTGTTTAGTAAACTAGTTCAGAGCCAAGGCCTCAAAAAAGCATTTAAAAGCTTAAAAGTTTAGTTCTTAAAGGATAACTAAGATTTTTTWAAATAATTTGGCATCAGATGATGACAGAATGTTAGGCTAACAAATGATAGGTTGAAGCAGGTGTATCTGGTTGATGAGGCACTCTTCTGATTAATRTTTACACTACTTTGTTACTAATTTTGGAGATTTTGAATAAATGGTCATTAATTCTTGAGCAAGGGATAGTTAAGTGGTTAGCTGTGAAACAAGCGTGAATTACAGCAGTGAGGAGAAAATTCCTCATTGCAAATGCAGAATCAAKAGGAATAATATTAGTTCTGCTTTTTTCTTGAAAGAAAAACATGCGTCTTTGTTCCGTAAATACCTGTTTAATGAAATATTGTACAATAATGATGAATTTCCTATTTTAAGGGGAAGTGCCTCTCATATTCCTGTATCATCTTACCGTTATTTCACAAGATCTGCAAGAAGGAAATTAAGGTAAGTTGTGTGTCAGTAATCATGATAAATAATTGCTTTGATGAGGCAAAGAAATCTGAAAGCAGACTGTCACATTTCAAGAATTGATATAGAAGAGAAATAAAAGGATAGATTTTGGTATTTTCTATTCTTAAGTATTAATTGTATATCGGATATGTTAGATCTAAAGTACATTTTTAAAAACACTTAGGAATAATCAGGAACAGGAGTCCTTTATGGTGAGCAAGGAAATATGTAGTCTTTGTTTTTGAGAGACTGCAATTTAAATAGGAAAGTCACAGGTAAGAAAAAGAGAGATGCTTAATTATCAAGCAGATTTGAAAAGTGTCATAGCATGAATCAATTTGCTAGTTGAGTCACACATGGTCCTTAGTGCTACTGAGATGTAAGAATAGTTATCCATGAAAGGTTATTTGGCACCCTCTTCTACTGCCCAGCATTCAGTCTGTATTGAATTTAGTTTGGATCCAGGAAAGGATCTGAAAAAACAATACAGGCAGGAGCTTAGAAGCCAGACAAGTCTGAAACCAAATGAAATAGTAACTAAATARCTTAATAATAAGCTAAATTACTGTTTGTATTTCTTATTCTAGAGTAAAACATACTTTAATCTTTTTAATTGGCAGCTTCATCATCTGCTCAATTACAGTGGCTGTGCTGTAACCTTTGCTTAGGTTTACTACAGACTTGATGAGAATTTGTTTATGGGCCTTTAATTCTTGTCATTTGTTCCAAATACAGGTCAAGTAACCTGATGAAAGGAATATTTGAGCTTTATGGTGTGAATCAGTTCAAATGTCCATTTCCTTGGAGATGGTGTTTTGGGCATGTGTCATGAGTGCCTGTGACCCTCAGTTGATTCTTTAGCTTTGCATCTCTTCCCTCCTCACTCAAAAGAAAAGTCAAGATGTTGGGGGTATAGCAAAACTAGTTATAATGGCTTTACAGTGGAGTTGATAACRGAGTTGATAGTTGTAATGGAATTGGTAGTAAGTTACAGTTGCATGTGTTAATAGAGTTGATTATAAGCTATTAACCATTCAGCCGCTATTATTCCTTTACACGCACACTCTCTTTATCAAAACATTTATTGAGAGCTGTATTAGAAAGAGCCTTTTCTGTGGGATAAGCTAGTCTCTTTTGAGCTCACCTCTCTGTTTATTTTTGCCCTTTTGGTAGACTCTGCATTTTGCAGTAAAAATGCGTTTTAGCTTCTACAGTTCATTCATTCACCCTGATGCCAGTTTATATGCACTTGTCTCTAGCAGATTGGACTCTTCCAAGTCACGTAGGCCCTGGGGGGAACACAAGCAGGACTTACAGTTGGGCTTTCTCTTCAACAACAGCCAACTCAACTGATCCTTCAGCACATACATTTTTTTCCTTCGAGGAGGGTGGTGGAAAGAATGTGTTTTTTTCCCCGTTTTTTTAATAAGTGAAACAACAAGTTAAGGCATGTTTACTTTGTTCTCTGCTTCTCTCAATCTGCCACTATCCTCGCTACCTGTGTGTCCGCTCTATGCCATTAGTACTAGACCCTCAGCTAAAGGASGAGAAAGTCTCTGTTGGATTATGGAGAGCTGTTTCACTCTATGTAATTAAAAGGTAACTCATGAGTATTTCTGTAATTAACTATGAAGTTGTGCTGAATGCTTCAAATTTCTGAAGAAAAATGAAAAGTTTAGTGTGATATACCTTAAAATTGCAACATTTTCTGTTGCTTAGAAGTAGCAGAATGTCAGCTCTCACTGTGAAACATTTTTGAAATGGACAGGATAAAAATAGTAGATATGTGTTTTGAAGTTCAGATTCTAGTTTTAAATTATTTTGTGTCAAGTATTCTGTGCAGTTTTTCAGCATACTATTACACTGTTGAAGGGTCTTCTTGCTTTTAAATAATAAGAGATTGTTAAACCTGTCTGACAGCTGCAGTTCCTAAGTTTCTGTCTTTGTAGCTGTCATTAATGTGATGTAATATAACTTAGTATTAGCAGGATATTCAAGAAGAATTCTGATTATTAAGGGTTTGAGAGAGGAAGTGGTAAGAGGAGCCTCGTTACGTTAGTGCTATCAATGTTATTTATATCCTTGCTAGTGAAGACATTCAACATAAATGTATTTTTAAGCATTTAATATACTCAAGCATTTAATATACTTAAGCATTTAAGCATTATTAATATACTTAAGCATTTAATATAAAATAGTTTGATAGATTATTGTTCATAAGGAAGAATGAGAAATTTCAGAAAGGCTTAATTTTTATGTGGAAGTGGGCAAAACCACATCAGTTTCTTAGCATTTTTTAGCATTTTGATCTTTAGAAGTTTAGCACTGCAATTGTCACGACTTTGCTGGTATTTTGCATGTTTATGCTCTAAATTGCTTCACAGTATCTTATTTGTATGCTTATATCTTTGCAGTTTCACTCCTAAGTGTACCATAGACCCTTTCTCGTTTTTCCTTCAGTTCTTCCACATTCAGTTTGAATCATGCAATCTTGACATTTTTCTGAAAATCTGACATTTTCCCTGAAATCTAGTATTTTTGCAGGCCTTTTTTTCACAAAGGGCTGAAATTGGTAGGTAAACCATCACCTTACATAGACAGGAGAAATTGTTGTGCAGAGCTCTTTGTTCTCTCTGTTACTTGTCATGGTAAATGGCAGTATCATAATGTTGTCATGAGATTACATTTTGGTTGAACTGATTTCAAACTAGTTGCAAAGTAAGACTTTTTCATCAGTTAGGTTTGTCAGGGGTCTTGCTTGCTTGTTTTGAAGCCCTTGCATCATTCTGGCATAGCTACAATTTGTAACTATTTTGTTCCTAAATTTATTTTTTTTCAATGCTTGATGAACAGGTATGGAGCACAAGATGTGGTTGTTACCTCAGTGCTTTCTGAAATTTTTCAGTTGCTCTCTGCTTTACTTAATGTTGTTTTCCTTTACAATATTTTGAAGTAAAAAGACTGAAAAAGTGAATACCAGTGCAWCTAGAGATACCACAGAAGGTCTTGATTGCAAGAGGGCATCTCAGAAARGGGGAACATGTGGAATGCAAGCTGGGAACAGCAAATGAGTCTATCGCCAGCCCTCATAAAATGGGCATGAGCAAATAGAAACATAAGTGGTTTTGGTTACAGTAGCCAAAGTATATTGCAGTAAATGGAAGTGCTTGGGTTAGGTCGGGTGGCTTGCAGACATTCTGACTGGAAAGGATTTTCTGAACTGTTTGAAGTCCATRGATGATTTTCACAGAATCACAGAATTTTCCCTTGCACAAGTTACACTGTGCACATAAAGCCCAGCACAAAGCAGTCTCGTGAGGATAACATGTCAGGGCATGTATGGGAAGTCATCTCAGGCGCGAATCTGTGCTAGAACTTAGAAAAAACAACAGAGCACTAGCTGCTTCTGCTGCTTTAGGAGATGCTACAAGCTATAAATCAGATCTCCTCGACTTCAAAAATACACAATTTTAAAATAAAAAGAACAATTTCCATAACATGTTGTTAGTACTCCTCTGTTTAAATTGAGGGGAATTGATATGTTTTATATAAAAAGAAAAATGTTTCTGAACTGTGTTGATTTCTTCTTAAAATTACAGTAGATTTTCTTCTCTCTTATTAAGAAGTCTGTGTTTTGAAAGTGAGAGTTCGTTTTGCAGGCATTCATTTTTATTTAGACTTCTYTTAGTAATACTTTTGATAATGTCTCCTAGTAGTKTGGAAATYTATTAGTGTAGTTGGTATGTAAATGTTTAATGTATTGTTACACATACACARTAGTAATTATTTTCCATGATAGTTCTTATAAAATGAATTAACTGACATCCTTCATGAGATATTATTTTCATGGGAACATTCTTTAATAATGTGGGAGCCATGACACAACTAATGAATTATCTTTTTAGCAAGAAACAAAGCTTTCTTGCTATCGTTCATAAAAAAGAATGAAAATACCACTRCACTAACTGTATATCTTGTATGTATCTTTCTGAGGCTCCCCTGGACCTCAGAACTTCTGTAAAGGTATTTTGGACCATAGGGACACATCAAAATACATATTTTCATTTACTAATACTTTCAACATCGCTGTGCTCAGAAGCCTGAGGTTGGTGGTGGGGAGCAGGTAGGGTCACACTGTTTTCCTGTGTTGCAGCTCTTTCCATCCTCAAAATTAAGAGGTTGCAATCTAATTTTGTRCTGCTAAAATAAGAAGCTTTTTGTGTCTGAAGTTAGGAGATCACAAGAAGACCATTCTCATACTTAGCCTGCACATGAGAGTGCTTTAAAACATCCTTACACTATGATTTTAGGCTTGGAAATTTCCTTTCACCTGAAATGTAATGATTTCTTAAATATTTTCCATTTACTTTGACACCTTGACATGAAAATTTCAAGATTTATCCTCAGTATGAAATGGGAAAAGTGAATAAAGAAACAAAAAATTGCTAAATGCTTAAAACTGAAATACGGAATGTTCCCCAAAACAGAATGTAAGGTTTGATCCCTTCTTTGCTGTTCTTACATTGTTCCTGTGTGTTTGCAGTTACAATACTTTATTAGGAACTGTTTTGATTGCATGGAATTTTAATGATTTCTCAGCATAGCTTTGCCTGTGTCCCAGTTGTTTGTCATGCACAATAGTTTTTTGTTTTTCCCAAGCTTATTTAGACATCACGATAAAGAGCAATGAAGCAAAGAAGAACGGAATAAATGGTACTAAGAGTTTATTTTCCTAAAGGGTGGCTGCAGTAAAATACMTTATGCTCTTCTGCTTTGTAATATCCCAGGCAATTGATTAGCAATTATTGGAGAATAGTGTTGCTTGCAGCTAATTCAAAAGTCACAGTTAAATATAGAAGCCTAACAAAAATAGTTTGCTTCATTGAATTGGTTGTTTTGGCAGGGTGGTATGTCCAAAGAAAAACATGCATGCAATTTCTCTGTCATTTTGRATTACCATTCTGGAGTGGTAACTCTGCTCCATTCTGGCTTTGATTTTGACTCCTCATAGGGAAGTATGATCTTGTGCTGTGGAGTCCTTGCTTAGAATGGAATGGTAAACTCGTCTGCAGTCTTCTGTTCAGCTTTTAGTGGTGAGCTATTTCATAATGCTGTCCAGTAGAGGGCATCAAATAGTGCTATTTTTTCCCCCACGGTAGAGTGCTTTTCTATTTGCTTCAGAGAGCAATGAAACAAAGCAGTAGTTGTCCTAAGCTCTTCAAAAGTGACTTACTGAGCACAGTACATCTCGCTAACTGCTCTATTCCAACTCTTGTGATGTGAAAGCAGGTACTAATGCTTCTGTATTCTATTTTGTATCATTTAGCACTAGAAACCTGTCAAGTTTTGAGTTTTACTCTATAGAGTTTGAGGTTAAATAAGTTTTAAAACTTTCCTCTTATAGCTTGAGTGAATTCCAACATGAAGATATTGTGCAACATAGAAACGGACAGGCCGTATCTGCGAGCTTACAATACTGTRCAGGTATGTTTCAAATATATACTTTATGATACCTTAACCTTTGTAGGGTGATAAGTCTACTTGCTCTCTTCARGTTCAAAATAGACAACAGACATGTCCTTAGAGGACAGCTCTTATATTCATCTGGTTACATCAGCCTCYAGGGAGCCCCTGTAGCAACATATTACTAATGTCATTTCACTTGATCATGTCGCTAATATGTTCGGAAGGATGCCTGGAGGGATCATGTGGGGCTGTTTTATGGGAAATAAATTCTTTWTACTGCTTTATGCCAACTTTAAGTGTGTTTGGTACCTCAGAAGCACTGAACAGTAGACATGGTAGCAAAAGTCTCCAGTTGACAGTCTGCTTGCAGTCGTCATAAAATGGGCCCTGTCCAGGAAGATAGTCCTAAAGCTGCATGCATATGTAATTAAAGGGCAAATACAGGATGTGGAGGAAGTAGGTGGAACATACAACTAATAATTAGAACGATGTTTGTTTTTCTGTGCGTTAATATTATCAAGTTCTTCTTTCTTCCTTTGCAGTAGAAATAAAAACTCATGTTCTAAGCAGTTACTCTTTGGAGTCTGTTCTGGGATGAAGGAAGAAGGCTGTTTTGTTTTTGTTATGTGTAGCTTGGTCTGTTTTTTTATTTCATGCAACTATTTTGGCATGTTTTCCTCTTTACAGAGCTGACTGAATATAGTCTGATTCATATAATTTTATCTAAAAATCTCTCTACTTTTAGCATGTGTCCCAACATTAACATCTGCCTGGTTGCTTTTATATGTAGTTGTATTATGTATAACATTGTCCAGCTTTTTATTTTTGCAAGACATCTTAGTATAGTACGCTCATACTGTTGATAGSTTGCTGCTATAGTTTTCCCCCTTTCTGTTGCTTTAAAACACTAGAACTTACAGCACATGTTTTCACATACTTAATATATTAAAGGTTGAAGTAATAAGAAAACTTGAAAATTGGAGCAAAATTTGTACAGGTAACCATTATAAGGTAGAGTATTTTTTTAGGGAAAAAGAACAGTAGTAGCTGCTATATAAAAACATGTTCCTCTGTAATCGGAGAGCATATCAGTAATAAACTTTGATAGATAATGACTGACTTTTTGTTGTTAGTCCTTGGTGAAAAATTGTCTTTTAAAGAGGAGTTGAGCTGAGCTTTTGTAATTCCTTGGTAAACAAGACTGTAATGTTCATTGTGCTGCACGTTTACTGTCCTCCAGAGTTGTTAGGGTATTGCATAGATGTCTTATAAAATAAAGTCATGTATTTTGTTTCAAAGAGAGTGGCTTTAAAAAAAATGTGGAGAGAGGGAATGTGAATGAAACATAGAAGCATTTATTAATGTATTAATTAACTGTATGAGCAACTGAATATTTGTTTATTTGCTATGTTTATATTAGATCAAGACGGAATGAATGATATACCTGAAACTGAAGAGACTGGAAGAACTTGTGATTCATGGCAGAGTGACCTGTGGACACAAGTGAAAGACAAGTTAATGAAGTACTTACATCACAGCACAGTTTTCCCAGAAAGCATCCCACGTAAATTTGATTATGTACACAAAGACTTACTTATGCAACTGTACAACCTTCATGCAGCAGTCCACCAGCCAAAAGAACATAGTTCAGATAAAAATATCAATGAATTTAAAAGTGCTAGTGGCCTTGGGCATTATGAAGTGACAGTACTTGGTAAGTGTTTAGTTGCTTGGCTTCTAAAAAAGATTAAGCAGTATTAGATCTTAGGTATTTGCTGTGTTAAATTAAGAATGTTAATTTAAGATCTTCAGCAGTAACTGWATGGATCTCTGTGACTTAACTAAGTGTAGTAGTAATGTATTTGGGGTTTTTTTTCTCATGAATAAGAGAAGAAAATTGCCTGACTTAAAGGTGCTTACGTTAAGATCCCATGGCTTACAAGTTTTCATTATTTTGCTATGGGGGAATTAGGAGAAAGTATTTGAAAACTTAGGTCTTTAGAATCATAGAATGTGCACATATTGCACCATGGACTTACATTTCGCTGTTGGTAAAGTGAATTACTTTGTACCATTGATAGAGTTAAAAAAGGAGTGCAAAATGCCTTAAAATACTGGTTAAATGTATTCTGAGCAAGCAGCGTTGTTCAGCTGAAATCATAATGTGTTGTAACATCAAACCAAACTCAGTGTGCATATGTATAAATGTATATAATTTCCTACTGAAATACATTTTAAGTTCTCAGTTCTTACATAATGAACACGTAAGTAAATGTCTTGTGATGAGTTATCAGGGTTGAGCATTCAGTAGTCTGGTTTTAAGAATGGTGAAATACTTCATGAAGCTGCCAGTGGCCTGAAGATGAAGGATTCTGTTAACATAAGTATCTGTTTCAACAGGTATAAACCATGATGTCGCAATAGATGTTGCTTTTCTCCCACTGTTTTGTCCCGAGGATACACACTTATTTCAAACAGAAGACATCCAAAACGATACATTATTATCCTGTATGAGTTGCATCTCTGCATGTCCACAGAAGACTACTAGCACTGGAGGGCTTCATGGCATGTTTCCACTTTCAAGTAAGACTTGCTTCCACGGGTGTTATTTCCGGTTTCTTGTTATCTTTAAAYGCAGTAGTTGATTTTCTGTAGATGTTTCTTGTGGATCAAGCATTGTTCACGTTGTCAATGAAATATATGTGAATTCCGGGTGACTACCYTTACTGAACAGCTGTAATCCTGTATTTTCAAGCCATTTTTTTACTGGACCTATTTTTCACTTGGAAGATAATACTGTACTGCTCAAAGCATAAGCTTTCAAATGACCTAGATAGTATTTGCAATTATTTGTTGATTAAAAAAAATATACCGACATAGAAAAGTTAGTTTGTATGGCTAAATATGTGAATATTTGGCTTGATCTGCTTCCTAACACTGAACTTAAATGCCATTCAGTCACATTTCACTAAAGTCACTTAGAGAGCCAATTTAATGCAACCTAAAGAATCTATGAACTGAGGTTACACTGCTGCCATTTATGGTGTTTGAATTTGGCAATAGACTTTTGAAAGGGAGGAGGAAAAAAAAAAGCGGAAGGGAAAGAAATGAAAAGTTTATAGGCCAGCACTTAATATACTTCAAGTTCTTCAGTGAAAGAAGGGCTTGGCCCCTTCCTCCCTACRTTCTCCCCTCAGGTATGGGAAATGTCAGTTCAGTGTACTTCTTTACTGTACTCTCATGGAAAATACTTTTTTTAACTTCAAGGTGAAACTGTAAAAGCAGCAATGGATCTAGATGGCAAACATGTTATCTGCATCTTGGACATCTGTCACTTGGGTGATGATAAGGTGGAAGTCTTTCTGAGCAAAATCTACAAGACAGTGGAACCTGATGTGCTGGATCCAGTGTAACTTGAGAACTTGCTCTTCACACTTACTTATTCAAAAAGAGGGAAATAAAATTGCTGTAACACCCTCTACACATTGCACTTTTCTAGAACTAGTGGAGACAAAAAAAATATGTCTTAAAGCAATTATATTGGTTGTCTGTGTAACTGAGAGAGACAATTGTTGCCCTTGTTTTTGTCAGCCTCAGAACAGACAGGTAAAACTCTTACACAATGTCTTGGTCACCTGTGTTAAAGAAGAATGACTAGGGAATACAGTGAGCTTATCTTTTGATGAAGCAGGGAGTGTGACTGTCATCCTTCTTGGCCCATAYGTACAAACACAGGAAATGTATGTATCAAGGGGAGCACTGCAAAGAGACACAGGCTTTCCCCGGGTTAAAGACAGTGTTTGCAAAAGAATTAACTGGCCATGAAATAAATACAGGCTGGCAATGAGAATCATTTTGAGGACAGAATAATGTTCTGCTGTGATCTTTCAGTGGGAGCACTGGAGACAGACTTTTTAAGCTTGATACTTACTGTGTTTGTGAAAGGGAGTTCATATCATGGTGCCTTTGATACCAGGGGCTTGTAGTAGTCCAAGAAATCACCTTCAATTCTTTTTACCTAAGCAAGATCACTTGCTGTATTTTTATATGTCTCCTTTTGTACATTAACTGTTGGGTTGCAAGTATAGCACCCAAAGATTTTAAAGTATTTTATTTATTAAAAGAAATGAGGAAATATTTAAAAAAAAAAAAAAAGCTTTCTCTTTGTAAGCATATGTGTGACTCTGCAAGAGATGCAAGAGAAAAGCTGACTTGAAGAGATGCTCTAGCATGGCAGAAAGTGCATTGTTTTGCTGCCATTATTTTGTTTTTTTCTGCTATTCACAAATGGTACTACTATCTTTCTTTTCATTAATAGAGTTCCTTCAACGTGAAGGAACTCGGCAGGATCAAGAAGCTGCTGCTTTGACAAGGACAAAGAACTGCATAAAATACTGTCCAGTGACTGTATGTACCAGGTAGCAGCTGCTGGCTCCTGCTGAGTGCAGAAGTAGAACCKCATTTTCTTCATTAAGGAAACTTTGGCCTTAAATCAGTTATACAACTGGATCCTCTGGGAAGTTGTTCTCTAGCAGGAGTTAAAATGCRTTGCTATTTGATAGCTCGCCCATATGAAATGTTGGTCTTGAATCAGTTCTTTGAGAAGAAGTAACTGAATCTCAGAAGGTTACCATTAAATAATACCATTATTGACTAAAGGCCATTAATTTAAGGGAACAGATTTATTCTTTTAAGGAAAACTTCCTTGGACCTTTCTCACAGTCTGTTAGTAAATGTTGAGTAGTTTCTTTAACTAGGTGGTTCACTAGTGTCTGCTTCAGTGCTTCAGCTCTGTGCATAACATCAGCTAGAAGTATTAGGAGGAGAAACTTAACTGTGTTTGTGTTCATGTTACTTGTTCACAGACAACATCAGGTAAAGTTTGTAATAGAAGGATAAAATTTTATGTTTCCAATGTAGTTTGTAGTTTTAGAATATATTAATGTAAAAACATTAAATATGCACAGGAAAAGTGATATGTGACTATGTATTGTATGTTTATATTTTGTGTGGATAGTATAGTATTAGTTCTAGAGCAGTGTTTCTCAAGCCATGGCTTTCAGAATATGTTGTAACATTTGAGACCTGCTGGCATCGTTCATGGCCACAGAAAGCAAAATTAAAGCACAGCAGAGAAGAGCATAATGTTGCTTGCAATATTATTTGTGTAATTTGGTTGTTCAWGAGTATGTGAAGGTCAGGAGTCATTGCTTTAGAAAGAGAAAGGTATTAGCACCCGCACTTGACGTTGCAAACTGAGCCACGCTGACTGTGTCAGCCAGTGTTTTTTACGTAGATATACTTCAAGTCGAAGTCTAATTTTAATGAGTCAATTATTTTCAGAGCACAATTTATAAAGTAATTGCCTTTGTATAGTAACCACTTTATTCAGATGTTGTAACCATTCAATTCATCCCTTGCAATGGAAATCCAGCAAAAGTTCAGTTTGCTGAGTTGCACTGATTACCGCTTTTGAAACATGTAGCATTAATCACKTCATCCGCCGTGTTAGAACTTTCTAACGCTAAAAGAAAAACGGTATGATGTGAAATGTTTATAATATGAATTAAAGACTTTTAAAGTGTATAGTTTTATTTTACAGAAATGTTATATGAAATTTTTCATGGGAAAAAGTGGGAAGGGAAGATAGGCTATTATAGAAGTGCCTATGAAGTGCCTATGTTAGAAGCCTCGGCTCCTTGTGTAGCTGAAGGATGCATGACACCTGTATCACACATGGAATTTGGGTATTCTGAGTCATTCCATAGAGGCACTTATCCGTCCACATAAATTACTTGGAATTTAATATTCTACCTTTAGTTTCTGAGGTGTTTCAGTGTTAATATATGGTTCCACTAGCCTCTCTCCTTCCCCACTGCCAAAAGAAGCACTGTGGGACTTGAGCATAAGCTGCTCTCTGCAAAGAAACTACTTGCTGTTTTATTTCACTCAGTGTTATTTAATGCAAGTGTAAAACCAAAGCAGTTTTGATCATGAGACTGTCAAAATATGTTAATTTTCCACGTGAATCCAGCATACAAAGTCTTTCCTCGTGCAAAATCTTTCTTACTGCTRTGTACTGCCACTGCTGAGGGCATATTACCAGAGAATATTGCAGGCAACTATAAAATTCATCAACCAAAGAACTGTACTCTAAAATTTTAAGTTTCCACGTGTGCTGTGTTTTAGCATTAATTTCAAAGAAAAGATAAACTGATGGTACTTCTGAGTGCATAAAAATTTTTAATTCATAGATCTTAGAGGTAAGATCAGTTTCAACTTAATGTGATGTAGAATTAGTGTATCGTTGGAAAATGGAGAATATAAATAAATGAACTTATATCTTAAATTGTCTTGGATTGTTTCTTTTTGTTTTGTAGATTCATTTCTAAGAGCTGCTTTTGTGTTCAAAGAATCTCTCCAGAGTTGTGTTTAATCAAAGAATCTTTCCAGGAGAACTAGGGCCAGCTTCTGGCAAAATACATGCATCCTATTGCAGCTCCTCCTGGCTTGCAGCACTGTACAGCACAACTGCAGCAGGAAAAGGGGGAAGAAGGTCTTGATCTCTTCATCATCTGCCTGTTATTTTCCTTGTTTCCTTCCCTGTGGTATAACAACACATAACAAAAGCATTTTCTTTCCTGCAGTGCAACTAGCCCTTTATGGGTGCATTGCAAATCACAATGTAGTGTGTTGCTATTGCAAATAGTCATGTTTACAGGGCATTGATTTTCAGCTTTGCTTTCCAAGATGTGTGCAACATTCCTGCAGCTCATCCATTGTGGATTCCAAAGATGTGACTAGAACAGAAAATGGGAAACGTTACTAGTGTGAAAAGGTAGGGCTTCATACTAGTCATCATTCAGGGATACAACTCTGAACTTAGAGGGGAATCCTAGAGAACTGGATCCTGAAATGGAGAGTTGTGTGATGGTAACTCGAGCATCAACGTGAAAATGGAACAGGAACTASTGTGGGAAAAAATGGTCTGAAAGATCATTTGATTGTCAAATGAGTGTAAGTGATTCTTCATCTCTTGCGTGGTTCAAATCAGTGTTAAAATCTGTTCATTATAAATGCCAGGACAAGTTGGACCTCCAGAGCAGGTGACTTAAAAGACCAGAAAGAACTAAAAAGGGGATGRGGAGGCGAGTACTTGGCTACTCCAGTGTTTAAGATGAGGAAGTTTGTTTGTTTTATGAGCATTCCCTCTGCTTTTGACATTTTTAACAGCCATTTGCATCGCAGCGTGTGTTGTGCAGTGAGAGCCCGGAGTTGCATCACTGGAAAGACGAGCTGGTCCTTTGCAAATGACACTCGGGTTGAAATGGGAGACTTCCTGGAGCAGCAGCCTTAGAGCCAGCTCTTAGGAAACACTGTCCGGGCTAGAACTTGTGCAGAAATGTGAGCGGAGGGGAGAGGTGATGGTAAAGAGTAGAAGGAACTTGGGGTCAAAGGCTACTGCTTTTAGTTTGCATCCCTGCTTTACAATAAGTAGGAGTATCACTGTTTTCCTTCCCACCCCCCTTGCCTCCAGATAAGCTCGCTGACGCATTGAGGACTTAACATGGGTGGTGTCAGGTTCCTGTTGGGAACTGAAATTTCAAGCTAATCAGCGGGCTGAGGGGTAACAATGGCCACCGGCGGCCGAAGAAATTATCTGTAGACATCTAAATTTTGTACTTAAATGAATAAGCAATGAAGGGAGAGAATAGGTCCCGTTCGTCCTGCCTCCTGCTGATTATTAGTGCTTTATTCAAGGCTGCGGAGACACTTCCTGTGAATGCCTATGTGAGCTTACTCTATTTCAACACCACGGGTAAYAGGTCTGTGTCCGAGCAGTGCGAATGTGGCCTGTACGGATTAAACTCTCCTCTCCTTAGCGCTCAGGGGCTTGTGGCCATTCCTAAATCTGCTAATCTTCAAGCCTGTGACTTGAACACCCAGTTCACCGTCACGGAGCCGCCGTGGATAGCACTGATCGAAAGAGGCAATTGCACTTTTGCCGAAAAAATAAGGCTGGCAGCCAGAAGGGGCGCGACGGCCGCCGTGATCTACAATGCCCCGGACAAAGGCAACTACCCCATCCCCATGTCGCATATCGGTGAGTACTGCGGCGTGGAGCTCCAGGGCTGCATGGCTGCTGTTCAGCAGGACCCGGGTGGGCTCCAAGGAGCGACTTGTGCTTGTGGGTGGCTGCTGCTCTAACCAAGGGGCTCCGTGGAAGAAAAATGCATTAGGCAATTGCGGCGTTGAGGGTTTTATTAAGAAACACCCTGGTGTCGTGCTCTGAGCTTGGTGCTCCAGTGTTGGAGTCTCCAATGTTAGCACTGTTTGTCACCTCCAGCACTTAATTGTCTCTATCACAGACAGGTGCTTTGTGCCAGACCTGGCTGCTTTGCCCGATTGCTTTAATCCTTTCTGAAGAGGAGTTAATCACTCCCTCTTCTGAGAATTCTTAGCTGAAGGTTAGACAAGATGATGGTGATGGCTTCCTCTAGCCCTACTAACTATGGTGCTGTTGTTGGGGGGAAGATGAAGTCGGTGATGATGCTGCATTGCCTGGCTTTAACCTCTTTGTATGTTCACCTGGGTCACCATGCTCGCAGTGCAGTTCAGCAGATGGCTGCAGTCTAGGTGGCTTCTTGCTTGAAATACGCCACGTACTTGGGCAGTGCTGGGCTAGGAATCCTTTGGCTTCAGTCTGGCCTGTCTGACTTCGCAATCATTCACACGCAGAAATTTTCAAGATACAGTCAGGTCAGCATTTTACCGATGAGACCCCCCACACACACTACTTTGGGTTACCATTTCAGGGTGATTTAGTTACAAGTCCCATACAAGACAGTTTACAGGGGTCAGCCCCAGCTCTCCAGCAGGCTGGTCCGGGGTCTCAGTTTTGTGTCTTTCTCCTGAGCTATAGGAGCAGCCCCTGAGTCTGAGCRCCAGGAAGATCCATCCTAGACAACTTTCTGCATGACCCAACAGGAAACCTGCAGGGTAGCGCCRAGAGCCCCGGGCTCCAGCGCAACACGCAGCTCGCTTTGACTCCTCTAGTGCCGCGCTGGAGCTGCTGTTTGTGAGGAGAACATGAAAYGCGTTCCTGGAACTGCCAATAAGGCAAAGAGTTTGTTCTAACAYAGCCAGCATAGAAAGATTTAACTAGAACTTGATGTTTGGGGTTGATTTTGGAGGTTGACAGCCAGATCTGCATAAATAAAAAGGAATTAACTGGGTTTTCATAGCTACAAAATTGGCATTAGCTGAATTTCCCGTGGAGCGGTGGTGACCCCAGCTGGCCCAAAGYGTTAAGGCAGCTGGAGCTGAGCCATATGTGTATATATATGTTATATAATAATTGAGCATATTGTTAGATATAATGATTATTATGTGTATCAATAGCATATAAATTAGCATATAAATTAAGAAAAACGCTGAAACTACCACCTAGTTTTACTGATGTTTTTCCAAAACTCAAAAGAATTTTAAGATCTTGAAAGCAGCCGAAGTACCATCCAAGAGGGTATTCCATAAGACAGTCCCATCTTTCTTAATTTACTTAGTTTTCTCAAAGGCATTTAGTTTTCTTTATTTMATTTTCTCTTTTTTTGTGATTTTTATAGGACCACTTTTTGATGCATAAAGAAGTAGTGTGTGAAAAAGAGGGCTTGTAAATCGATGCAATATTCACAAGTGTTAGACACAGTAAGGGCAAAGCAGTCTAGTGAGACGAGCTCTTGACTTCCCCTGTACAGTGTAGAAGGAGGATATTCTCTCTCATAAGTGTCTGGTTCCCTCCCTGGAGTGTAGGGACTCATATATTCTTTAGGTAAAATAKAATTGCCTGAGATGGGGGTAATCTATGTGCTGTATCATAATCACAGAACCCYRGAATGGTTGAGGATGGAAGGGACCTCTGCAGATCATCTAGTCCAACCCCCTGCTCCAGAAGGGACACCCAGGGCACAGGGCGGCATCCAGGCAGGTCTTGAAGACCTCCAGATTTTTGAGGACTTTTGTCCTATTGTGGACAAAAATAAATGTTTGTGGACTATCAGACAGAAAGTGCTTGTTCCTGCTGCTTTGTTTTTAATGGCACAGCTTTTCAAAGAGCGAGGGAAAGAAATGTGCTGTGGGGACAGGATCTGTGCACAGCGGTGCCGTTGAGGAGAGGACTGGGGAGACGCGGAGTCCGCTCCGCTGCTCTCGACGCTGGGACAGAGCTGCTCCAGGGCGCCGATCCGCCGGGCTCCGAGCCGGCCCTGAGCAGCAGCCCGGGGCTCCGGGAGCTCCGTCACCTCGGGGATTTGTTAGACTCTGGAGCCTCGGATGCTGCTTCTCTTCCTTCCTTCGTCTTGCTTCCTGCTGCCTTTAATGTGAAATCAATAGGGAGTTTCAGCCAACCTTGTTTTCTGTTACAGTAGCACAAAACTATATATATATTTCATATAAATGTCATATAAATAATTTCATTAAGCACTGTCTATATCTTATAGCAATGAAATAGTTGGTTCTGGGCAAAGTTCAGATGTCCAGGAAACTTTAGAAGTTTAAAATTCCTGGGCAGGGACTGAGAGAAAAAAAATCCCCTCTTGGTAACTCCTTCCTCATCCTCCCCAGTAGCTGTTTTCCTGTTATCAGCTTTACATGTTAATGCCTTTTGGATTACTGTTAGGCACACACACACACCCCAAAGATAAAGCTAAAACAGCAGTAGCTTCAACTGCAAGAAATTCTAGACATTAAGATGTAACATCCTTCCCCTTCCCTCTCTGGTTACGAGAATTACCAAGGGGAAAATGTTCTGAGGTTGTCTGAGTTGTCTGTAGGTTATTGTGTCTTATTCATACAAGGTTAGATCGATTCCATGATAAACAATCTAGGCTTTTTTTCATAGTTCCAGCACTTGCATTAATTGATCTGGAAAGGAAAGAGAACTTGCACCTATGATAATATTCTTCCTGCTCAGCTCCTAGAAATTAAACTGTCCTTGTCTTGAGAACCGCTGAACTCCTAAATATACCAATGAAATGGATAATAGTAGGGTGTATTTTCATCTTAATGAAGACAGGGCATTTACACCAAATATCTGAATATTGATTTAGGAACCAGATTTTAGATACTGTTTGCAAATGTCTTCTCCACAGTGGAAAACACGTGRCAACTTTTATTTCAGCTTTCCATAGATGAGTACTGTGTTTATCTTCAATGTGTCATGCATTTTGCCAGGTCCCAGGGAACACTCCTTTCTGTAGGCTGGACTTAGAGAGCACGTAAATATACTCTTTTAATTTGTGTATTTGGCTTTTCTGGGTTCTTTGGAGACAAGTTGGGTGCTTTGTGTTTGACAGGCAGCATTTGCAGTTGTGTGCTTGGGTGAATGAACGTGCTCTGCAATCCCATGCTCTGCAGGAGTCATCCAGCCTAGTTTTTTATTTAAACATAGCCAGATTTAAGCATGGTGTTTTGAAGCTTTTTTTTTTTATATATATAAAAAGTATCGAGCATGCATTGCAGCAGAATACCCGTGTTCTGCAAGCTGGTGCAGCAGMTGATTGTGGACAGCACTGCACAAGCAGTGCTGGTGCAGACCAGCAGAGGGAAGCAGGTCCCTGTCACAATTATTTTTTTCCTGTTCATTTACAAAAAGAAATACAAGACCAGCGTTTGGAAGATGGAAAAAATAGAGTAAAAACACCTATTTGGATACTGTTCCCCTATAGCTGTTAAGCTGCAATATCAAGTGAGTATTGAACTGTTTCCTGCATGGGAGTTTTATTAAGATTTGGGTAATAAAAATGAAATTAAAACCCTTGAGACTCATATCAGCAGCTATCTCGCTTTGGCCGTACAAATAATTGACAGTGCTGACAATAATTAGAAAGGAATTGACGTGGATCCGTGTTTCCTTCCACCTTTTTCCAGGACAGTCTCAAAGTTTAACTTCTGTTATCTCAGAAGTACTTTCAAGATAGGATCTTCTTAGCTGGTGATGCAATATCTAATGTGAACTACATGCTTGACAATGGAATTTGGTTTTATATTCTGTTTTGGAAGCTAGGATAAGATCTTGCTCTGTTTCCTCATCATAACTATCTAAAATATCATTGCTTATTTGATCTTCAGAGTAATTTCTGGTTTAGAGTGCATTTTCAGCTATCTCCTCTGTTTGCTATAGAAAAAGTTAGACTCTCTGTCCTGGTTTTAAACATCCCATGGGACCTGCATGTGAAAAAAAAGCAAATTTCCAGGAATGTCCCCAAGAAGCAAATGCCACAAACTTCCTTTTCCATTAAGTCCTTGTGAAGTTACCAGCTCTGCTAGCAGCAATTCAAAATGACTATTGGCAATATCCAAAATGTGACTGGACACATGCCTAAGCAAACTTCTGTAGCTGATCCTTGATCAGGGCTTGGCATGGACATTCCAGGTCCCTGCTTCTCCACAGGTGGCCCCCAAAGTCCCTGAGGGCTCCACAGAAGGCAGGCGGCAAGAGAGCTACAGTCAGCTCTGGGATTTTCCAGGTCCYGTGGAGCGCGTAGCCAGCAAATCCCAGGAACTCACCACAATGGTATTTGTTGTTACTCCTTTAGTTTCCCCAAATAATGTGCGTGCTGAGTGCTGGGCGTAATGAGTGCTGAGTGCATGTTCTGATTTACCTGTTCGTTTGAAACCCAGTACATGGACTGGGAGCCCAAGAGAGACAGTACATGGGGAGCCCAAATTTTTCTTCTGTAGGAAACCAGGACAAGCTCTGCACTGAGACAAGAAAATATCACCCTATGAGGTCTCTTAGGTCATGTAAACTGCTGCAGCAGAAATCAGCCCAAACTGGCCCTTTAGCGTTATCGTTTTGACCRTTGCTCTGGAGACACTGCCCAGAACTTTCACGGCCACAACCAGCAACAGAAGCCAAACCTCTGCACGCCCCTTTCCCCCAAGAAGGGGACATTCCCACCCTCTGGCTAGTGAGGGCGACTTCTCTGATGACAAGAAAGAAGAAAAGAGGTATTAACCTCTAAAAAGTCAATCAACCTGGCTTCTGATTGCAAGTATGTAGAACATTGTAGAGCGTGCACAGCTTTCGTCAGTCACTTATCAGTT